CTGCAGGGCTGCCTCAGCTTGCAGGGCCAGTTGCTGGGGGACTGCGTCCTCCCACTGCCCAGGGCTCACTTCTCTGGCTCTGCTGGGACTGTCTGACGGCTGCCTGTTTGGATCCCATGACTTTTCATGAGCATAACATTTAGTCTGTGGGGGTCAGTCAGTGCTGACCCAGTGGCGTGGAGCTGTTAACGAGACTGGAGATGAAGATGACTTCTTGTTGCCACACGATGGAAGCTTCCGGGCACTTCCTGTTTGAGCCCCAGACAATACATGTGCCGGACGCAGATGGCTTTCTCTTTCTGGCTGTCTTCCTATCCATTACTTCTGTGTGTGTGGAGTAGGTACGACAGAAAGCCACTATCTCTATCTTAGATTGGGGAAGCAGAGAAGAAATTACAGATCTCTTTGATTTTCTTCTTTTGTGATAAGAACCATGGATTTTGTCTCCTTCCCAACCCTTGTCTCTCAGATCCCCTAGCGAATGGTTATGAACGAATTAGAGCACCCCACTCCTGTTGCGCGTTCTTCACATGCTAGAAAGGGAGTTCGTGGCTTGTTTCTCAGTAGCTGTAAAGCATGACGCCTGAGGTCCTGATCTTAGCTGGGGCGCATCGACGTCCTTCCCACGTACAGGCCTGGCTTTAGGTCGTTTTCAGTCTTAATTTTGGGAGTTCTGCTTTTGTTCCCATGTTTGTGGACTGATCTGAAGGTTTCATTGGAAATATTTATAAATTCAGCTACCATTTTCCTGTTTCCGTTCTGTCTACTGGAACTGGCACCATCTTCTCATTGTCACTAGTAGTGGTGGGTCTGCTGGTAATTTTTAGGTGATGAGAATCTTTAGACGTTACACTTGTGGGGTGGGTGTTCTCATGTCTACCGTGTACTCCTCCACTAGGTTTTGAGACTCTGGAAAGCAGGAGCCATGTTTGTCAGCTGAGCATAGTCAGAATTATCATTTATCATGCACCTGCTGTGTACCAGAGAGTCAGATTTTTTATTCCCATTAATTCCCATAAAAGTAATGCATACATGAGGAATCATTTCAGATAGCTTAAGTAAACTGCCCAAGGTCATCTAACTGGTGAGTCAGAGTGGGGTTTTGAACTCAGTTTGATCTTAAATCCTCGTTTCTAAATCATATTTCTAAACCTGTTAAAGGCAAGGGTGGATGCAGATAAGAGGAATGAGATTTTGGCCTGTGGGAGGCTGGATGGAACTCATATGGAGCTGCATTCCTCAAAAGAGGAGAACGATGTGCACGTGTTCAGAGCCCTTGCTTCCCCACTGATCCACACTGACTGGCGTCACTGGCATATGTGGACGTTTACTAAATGGACCCCACAAACCTTCAGGGCAGAAGGCACTCCTTCCAAAGGCTTTAGCCCACGTGCAGGTCTTCACCTTTTGCTTTTTGTTACTGTCAGAGAGACTGAGATTATGTGAAGATGTGTCAGAATTAAGCAAACTCTGAAGAAGATTGGAGTGAATCTGTGGCAATAAAATATTCTGAGGCGTCAGGTCTGTGTTGAAATCAGCCCTGGCCTTCTGAAGACCAGGGGATACTCTGCAGTCAACCTCTGTGCTGATAGTTCAGACCACCAGAGTGTGCCCGCTGGCTTTGGCAAGCCATGGGAAGTGTGTAAATCTTTACGAAGTTGAAACTTTGTTGAACGTGCCCAGGGAACATTTTCCTTTTAATGTATTTGGAAACTATAATGTTTCCAACTACTGGCGACTAAAAGCAATTGCTCCACACACACACACACACACACACACACACAAATCAGTTCTTTAAAAGGCTTAACTCCTTTCACAAACATGTGCTTTTTAATGACTGGGAAATTCCTGGGACAGGAAAAAAAATGTCCTTTGGTACAAATGAGGTCACACTAGGCTTAACTGGCCCTGTGCGCTCTAGTTCCTGCTTTCGGTTCCATGTTTTGTGACCAGAGGTCATTGGAAGGATAATCCCCTGTGGATAGTCACTGCTTTTAGGGCACGTTGCCAAAGAGAAAAAGTTATCTTAGCTCAGAAACCGCCAAACCCCTGCAAGAGGCCCAGATCCCAGGGATGCTGAGCCAAGTGACTGATAGTGACTTGGCTTAGGTTGGCCATCGGTTGGGTTTTTAAAGCATACTTTTCACGTTCATGAGGATTGCTTTGTCTGCTTCACCCTCTTCAGATTTTCTCAACAGCCTCATTACTTCTTGGGGCAGGAGTGATTTTTCTTTCCTAGGTATGTTTCTCTGCTTTCTGATTCTATCCTGATGAGCAGAAATGTCCGGGCCAGTTTGAGGCCTCATGTTTTTCTTTTTAACCTACTATAAAATGAAAGACAGCTGTTGAAAGAAGTTGTCATGTACCTCTTTGTTTGAACATCTGGAGGCTGCTTCCTCCTAAAGTTAATTTCTGAAATGGCTGGGCTAAAGTGAAGGATACGTCTGAGCTGTCAGTTTTGCTCAGTGAAGATGGTCTCCTGGATGGTAGTGTAGGACGGATCTCAGTGGGGGCCCTCGATTTAATTGATGCTTCACGCTCCTCGGGCTTTAAAGTAACCATCTCCTACCAAGGAGGATGCTGAGACTTTGAGTACTAGGTGGGGAGATCGTCACATCTGTCCTGGATGGTTTCATGGAGAGGTAAACATGGAAGGGGTTCACGTGAGCTCTGACAACTACCTCTGTAGTCGCCTTTAAATTATACACCTTTAAGACAATCACTTTGAAAGGTTATGGATGGGAAACAAACTGATACATATTAACTGCTTCTTAGGTACCAGCACTGTGCTAGATCCCTTCTGTGGATTACCTTTTTAGGTTTGCCTAGGTTTGTGTGGTTAGTGGCAGCCCACGAGATTACCAGACTACCATGCTGTCCCCCCATCCGGAAGGGTCCGTGTTAACAGAGTCATTGTAAACCCCTAAAATTCATCCAGGGCTATCCTAAATCAGTATTTTGATAAGCTTTTTTTTTTCTGCTTGATCGACTAGAAGTTTTTATTATTTAAAAATGCATAGTCTTGCCACTGAGAATTTAGTTCTTATCATAATTTGTTACTAAAATCTGTGTTCTAAGATCTTGGTGTCAGTTTCATGCCTCCCTAGGTCTGATTGAGGCTCTGTTGCGTAAATAAGTCTGGAATAATTCTGGGTCTAGGGTCAAGAAACTCTATCTTCAGCTGTCATGGAGCGGAGAGGATTATAAAATTCAGTTATGAGCTGCTTATGTATTTGCTGCAGATCCTGTTTCTTGCCCCAAACCCTGTGATCTTTCCAGGAGGCTCTTGAACCCTTGCTTGAAAAGTCTTGAGGAAGTCTGACCTGGCATTACTCATCTTCTCTAGCACACCCCTCTCCACTGGTTTATTGCAGGCAGCCAGGGAGTATTTTATTGAACCTAATATTGGGGAAAATATGGCTAGGAGATGCTATCATACTGGAAATTGGGAAATTCTGGGTAATTGCTCAGTTCCCGTGGGGAAAACACATGGCAAAATGCATAATGGGTTAATATTGTAAAGTGAAAACACTTATGAGCTGAATCAGAAGCTTCGTATCTGTCTAGGATACTCGGAGCGGGAATGACACTGATTTGCTGATAATGTATTTTTCTTCTTCTTCTTCTTCTGTAGCCCGAGATGATACAGCACACTCTCAAGAGGACATTGCAGTATTATGAGCGCCAAATTACTGGGTAAGTAAAAATGGATTTTGGTTAGTACTGGGGACAAATTAAAGATAATTACTCAAACATAGCTGTTGAGCATACGGTTTTCTGCCACTCAAGTCAACCTTATTTCGTAGGGGCTGAGCTCCTGGTGTGGAGTGGGGCTCACAGGGGCCCATGCAGTGATTTCCTTTGCCTTATTTGTGTTCAGTCCTTTTAAACAAAATCCCTTTTGCTATTGCTTTCCATTTTTTTTTTCCTTCGTTCTCACCCTCTCATTTTCATCCATGGGATCTCGTATTTTGCCTTGATAAGATGGTAAGGTTTGTTGGTACCAACTGAGAGGCTTTAAATGGGATTTTTAGAATCCTTCAGTAAAGCTGAATCAAGATCACTAGCAGCTTGGTTAAAAAGAATATGAAAATGAATATATGTATGACTGAAGCGTTGTGCTGTACACCAGAAATAGACACCACATTGTAAGCTGACTACACTTCAATAAAAATATATTGAAAAAATCACTACAAGCTTAACACAGTTCAGTGAGAGGTGCTGGCTTCGTTAGAGCCTGTATGCTACCTGTTTTTTTAAATCTTTCCCCATTTCTTGAAGTGGTTGTGGTGTGGTGTAAAGTAAGAAGACTTGAGGTCAGAAGACTGGAATTCAAGGCCTCATCAGCACATAGAACCTTTAAGGAACTTTATCTCTTTTAAAGGCTGATGATGATGGATGATGATGGTAATAACTAAATCAAAAATTATTAAATGAGATACATTTAATGACAGTGTCTTGTAAACAGAAAGCTCCCAGTAAGTGTAAGGTTTATCTTTAATTGGCTATGACGGAAAGCAGTTGGTAAGTACAAAAGCCTAAATTCATTTTCTGATGCAATCTAGCTACATTACAGTTAAAGTAAACGTACAACGCTATACTATAGCTGCTTATCTTTGTGAGCTTTTAAGAACTTCTGAGGAGTCAAGATTCAAACCCTGATACCTCTTGAAATGCTATGGGGGGTCCTTTAACATGTACGGGTGATTGTCACTGACGTGGGGATCGAGAACGTCTTTCTGGCTATTAGGATATAGCATGCTTTTGTTTTGTTTTGTTTTTACAGAACAGAAGGGAAGAAAACTTAGCGGAAGAATAATCTTGGTACCTAGTAAAGTGCCATATACTTTAACTGCTTGATGATCATCTTAACTGTCATTTCAAAGGGAATTGCTTTGCAGCTTTGTCCTATTAATCCTCAAGAGTACAGACTAGGAAAAAAATATTATTTAAACTCCTGAGATGGCTTTTAATTTGAGGCTATTCATGATTTTAAATAGTTTATTTTAACGGAGATAAATAATGTCAAATTAATCTTTCTCTACATCCTCTAAAATAAAACTCACTCTCAGTGGATTTGCTGCTTTCAAAATATGTTTGGATTAAATTAGTCAATGTATTTAGAAGAGTTCCTGGTATGTGGTAAGCACGACATACTGTCTGCTTTTACATTTATCATCATCATTGTGGTTAGTATTTTGATGACAATACCAGTAATCAAATGCAGATCATCCTCTGGAATTACGAATGCCTCTCCATTTTGAAATCAAATAATAACTGATTAAATAGTCTCGTTGGTGAACTAAGCTATGTCCTCATGGCAAATCTGTGTGGGAATCTTACCAATGTGATCAAAACAGATAACTGAATTGTGTTACTCTAATCAGCAGAATGTTGTTTTTTTCATTAGTAAGATGGAGCTCTCTTTTATCTAAATAACTTTCTCAGCTCTCCTTTTCTCTCAACCTGTGCGGACATAGCCCACGGTAATTCTTTGCTCGTTGCCTAAGTGGTCTCTCCCTAGTTCTGTCTGTTGTGGACACAGTATTTAAAAAACAGACCGGGTATGAGACTTTCATATAAAGAGGCGTCTCAATGCCTTACTGGTTCTAAGTCGACCTAGGAGCAGAATGTTTTTGCTTGGGTTTTGGCTACCTTCTGAGGCCTTGGAAGTCCCTTTGCTCAGTGTCTCATTTGTGCTCATGCTGATGAAGACAAAAGGGCCATCGTTTCCCTGTCCAGCTTCCTTTTTTGCCTTTTAGAATCCGTCTTTGTGCTTTCAGTTTCTTTTTTCACTGCTGAAAAAGGAGAGCATTTATTATCACTAACACTTGGATTAAATTGTCTTTACTTGCATGTGTTGTTCCTCTTAAGAAAACACAATTTTATTTCTAACTGTGAAAAGGAATGTGTTTCTTACAGTTAAAGGGATTCCAGGCAATTGAGGATAAGTGCTGGCAAGAATAGTGTACATATTTCTGGGGAGGTGAGGGCGGGAAAGAGATGCTTTCTGATCCTGGAAATTGGGTTTTGCCTAAGGCTTGTCTGGAGGTAATTCAGCCTTTAGGGGCTTTGGGTTGGGATGCTGAATCAGGATGGGTAACAGAGGGGAGGAGCTAGCCCTTCTCTTTCTAATTTCTTATTTCAGCCTCCAGCCGCTAACTTTCCCATCCTCCCCTTCTAGGTTGTGTCACTCCGCCCTTGGACCTGACTTATGTATCGGAGCTCCAGGGCTGTGTAGTCCTGCTCCTTGGTGAATTCTTATACCAGCAGCCCATAGAAACTCTCTGAAGCTTTTTTAGTATCTAAGACCTAGACTTGAATGCAGGGAGCAGCTGTTCAAGGGATCAGACAGATGGAGGACTGGGAGGGAGCAGTGATGGAGCCTCTTGTTAGGAAGTGAGATAGCCTCTTGGGACTTCAGCAACTTTATCAACATTTGTCCTGCTCCTCACATTTCCATTCACTTGTTCATTTATTTATTAATAGAAATCATTCAAGTTGGGAAAATAAGTGCTTATGTAATTTATTCATGCAATGTGATCAATCTTCACTTCTTCATCTCCACTGTCACCATTGTCTCCCAGCTGGAGATTCTGATCTAGCTTTCTGGCCTCTGCTCCTTGTCCCTTAGCATTATGTTTCACCACAGCAGAGTGATTAAAAAAAATAAATCATGGCCCTTTCTTACTCTAAACCAATGGTTCTCAAATGATAATGTGTATCAGAATCACCTGGCAGGCTTCTTAAAACACAGATTGCTGGCCCCTGTCCCCCAAAGTTTCTGATCAAGTATGTCCAGGTGGTGCTCGAGAACTGGTATTTCTAACGAGTTCCCAGGTGATGCTGATGCTGCTGGTCCAGGGATCGCAGTTGGAAATCTCCACTTTAAACTGTATAATAACTGTCTGTGATGGAATAAAGTCTGAGCTCTTCCTGTGCTCTGGCCCCTGCTTACCTCTGATTTCATCCTGCTCCACTCTCCCCTTTGCGCTCCACTCCAGCTGCTCCCGCCTTCTTGGTCTCTCAACTGCACCAAGCGTGCGGAGCCTCCCGGATTTTGCATGTGCTGTTCCGTATTCCTGGAGTGCTGTCCCCAGGTGTTTGCATGGATTTTTTTTTTATACATCTAAGTCTCTGTTTAAATGTTACATCTTCAGGAAGAAATGACACCCAACCTAAAGCAGCCCTCAATCTTCTACCTCCTATAACCCCAATCATTTTCTATTCCATTGGTCTCTATTACCTCTTTTCATGGTGCTTATTATTAGCTTATATTATCTTGTTTATATTCTTACTTGGTTCTTTATCTTGTTTATTTCTATATTACTGTGCCTTTGCAAATGCAAGGAAGGACTAGCAATTTTTTAGGAGGGAAGGAGTGTGCATAAATGAGTAAGTTGTACCTAGAGGAATGTACACAGAGGTATGTAGATAGTGGATAAAAGCGTAAATTATGCTTGAGAGGAGGGTATAAATTGACAGGTTAAAATAATGATCTTTAGGGTCCATTATAGTTCTAAAATCTATAGTTCTAATAATCAGAAACCTCTTTATGGCATAAATTATACTGATTTATTTGCATAGTTTTCCATTTATGCTTTTTTTACTAAAGTATAGTTGATTTACAATGTTAAGTTAGTTTCTGGTGTATGGCATAGTGATTCAGTTATATGTATATCTGTATATTTTTTTCATATTCTTTTTCATTACAGGTTATTACAAGCTACTGAATATAGTTCCCTGTGCTGTACAGTAGGACCTTGTTTATCTATTCTGTATATAGTAGTTTGTATCTGTTAATCCCAAACTTCTAATTTATCCTTCCTCCCACTTTTCCCTGTGGTAAACATAAGTTTGTTTTATATGTCTGTGAGTCTGTTTCGGTTTTGTAAATAAGTTTGTGTCATTTTTTTAGATTTTATGTGTCGATGATTTCATATGGTATTTGTCTTTCTCTGTCTGACTTACTTCACTTAGTGTGACCATCTCTCGGTCCATACATGTTGCTGCAAATAGCATTATGTCATTCTTTTTTTAAAGCTGAGTAGTATTCCATTGTATATATACCATAATTTCTTTTTTTTTTTTACCATAATTTCTTTATCCCTTCATCTGTTGATGGACATTTAGGTTGCTTCCATGTCTCGGCTATTGTAAACAGTGTTGCTATGAACATAGGAGTGCATAATTCTTTTCTAATTAGAGTTTTCTCTGGATATCCAGGAGTAGGATTACTGGATCATATGGTAAGCCTATTTTTAGTTTTTTAAGGAATCCCCCTACTATTTTCCATAATGGCTACACTAAATTACATTCCCACCAACAGTGTAGGAGGGTTCCTTTTTTCCCACACCCTCTCCAGCATTTTTTATTTGTGGACTTCTTAGTGATGGCCATTCTGACTGGTGTGAGGTGATACCTCATTGTAATTTTGGTTTATGTTTCTCTGACAATTAGTTCTATTGAGCATCTTTTTATGTGCCTATCGGTCATCAGCATGTCTTCACTGGAGAAATGTCTGTTTAGGTCTTCTGCCCATTTTTTGATTGGGTTGTTCGGTTTTTTTTTGTTATTGAATTGTATGAGCTGTTTGTATATGCTGGAGGTTAAGCCCTTGTCAGCTGCACTGTTTGCAAGTGTTTTCTTCCAGGCTGTAGGTTGTCTTTTCCTTTTGTATATGGTTTCCTTTGTTGTGCAAAAGCTTTTAAGTTTAATTAGATCCCATTTGTTTATTTTTGCTTTTATTTCTATTGCCTTGGTAGACTGACCTAGGAGAACATTGCTATGATTTATGCCAGGGAATGTTTTGCCTGTGTTCTGTTCTAGGAGATTTATGGTGTCCTGTTTTCATTTATGCTTCATGTTCTACTACAATATGTCAGATTGAGTTTGTGGTAAATTTTGTTTGCTATATAAACTCTACATATGCATTTCACTTGGATAGCTTCTTGTTTATGTAGCACAGGCTTCTTCCCTCAACCCAAAATGAGGAAAGGAGGCATTGAAGTGTATGTCTTTATGTTAGTCTTTCTTTAACTCAAGGTTTTAGGAAATGGACTAGTTTGGGGGGCAGTATGGGGGTGCGGGAGTGGGGAAGAATAGTGAGAAGCAAAATGGATAAGTAAGAGATGGGCAATGTTTGCCTTAGGAATTAAAAGGAACACAGAACTGGGGAAAATCTGGTTTATGAGGACAATTTTTGTGATGTCATTCCTGCTGTTACCTTGGGCCCTTCTCTCTGTGCATCTTTACTGTGTAGTACAGAGCAAGGGACTGAGAAAATGTGCTTTGGAAGTAGACATGCCAGATTTACTAGATTTAAAGTCAGGTTGTACCTTTGAATGATCGTGGACAGATTCCTTAATCTCCCCGAGTCTCTCATTTAAAAAAATGAGAATAATAGCAGAATAGGGGTGAAGTTCAAATGAAAGATTAATTATAATAACGTGGTAAGTCATGTAATCACATAAAGCAGTGCAGTGCTTGGTACACAAAGGGAATCAATACGTTTGTTGAATCATTATTACCACTATTGTATCTGACTTTTTTGTCCTCAATTTTTGTTGTCTTTCCCTGTTTCCTCTTGCTGTGTGCTTTAACTGTCTTCCTGGAGCCTTTAAAAGTTTGGAATCAGTTGTTTAGCATCAGAAACTAAACATATCCAGTTCACATTCCAGCTACAGTTTTCTTCTTGCAGAGAATTTGGATTTTTTTAAAATCTAAATTTCTTCCTCTAGAATGCCTAACCCAACTGCTCTCACTCCTGTTTATACTACGTGACTCCTACTGGTCTCTAGGTCAAAAAACCCAGATTACTATTGTAGTGAAGACAAAGTAGGGGTTTCTTTAAAACTTGGATTGGATAACACATGAAAATCTTTCTGAGATATAGTTTTTATTTGTTATATATCTTAACCACCACAGTATAAATAAATATATTTTCAGAATCATGCCATTCATTTTATACTTTCTGCCAGAATAAGCATCCTTGTGCTAATATCACAGGTAGGACTGCCGCCAACCTCATATTGGCCTGGGACACCATTTCCTATAGTCATCTCAGATTAAACTATGACTCCAATTATCACCGTGCGCCCTGTGTTTGTTTTATACAGCCAACCTTCTGTTCTCTCTCTCTCTCTCTTTTTTTTTTTTTTGACAATTGAATAGCTAGAATAATTTCCATAGAACATTAGAAGGGAAATTAGAAGTGGGTTAGCCCTGATTATTCTGGGAAACAGACTTCAATGATATTACTTCATGGTCTCATGGTCAGATTTTGTGGCTTTAAATTATTTTACCTAAAAAGTGATCTGGCTTCTTTTTGATACATTTACATAGAATATCAATTTTTTAACTTTTTCTTTTTCTTTATGTATATATTTATTGACATATAGTCAGTGTACAATGTCAATTTCTGGTGCACAGCACAGTGCTTCAGTCATATATGAACATACATATATTCATTTTCATATTCTTTTTCACTGTAAGTTACTACAAGATATTGAATATAGTTTCCTGTGCTATATAGTATACTTGTTGTTTATCTATTTTATATATATAGTAGTCAGTATCTGCAAATCTCAAACTCTCAATTTATCCCTTCCTACCTCCTTCCCCCCTTGTAACCATAAGTTTGTTTTCTATGTCTGTGAGTCTGTTTCTGTTTTATAAATAAGTTCATTTTGTCTTTTTTTTTTTAGATTCTGCATATGAGTGATATCATATAGTATTTTTCTTTCTCTTCCTGACTTACTTCACTTAGTTTGACAATCTCCAGGTCCATCCATGTTGCTGGCATTTCATTATATTTTATGGCTGCGTAGTATTCCATTGTATAAATATACCACAACTTCTTTATCCAGTCATCTGTTAATGGACATTTAGGTTGTTCCCATGTCTTTTACTGAATAAAAACAGTAAATTAGATGAAAGCTAGTTATCTATTGATTGCTCTCTGTTTTTGAAGTAATATACTGGGTACTTTATATCTGTTATTTTATTTAATACTAACAATTTATTTAATAGGATCATTATATTAAGTTTCTTTCTACAGGTGAGAAAATTGAGGCTGTGAGAAAAAATATTTGAAGTCACTCTGATTAAGATGTTAGCACTTGCATAAACTTGTATTTTGTCTGTGTTTAGCAACTGTGCTTCCCATTCCACATTTACTGAGTGATTCCTGCATCCTTGAAACTGTAGTAAAGCATTTTGCTTAACCGGTTTATTGGAATCTGATCGTAGTGAGGTGTACAAATATGAAACCCTTTTATTTTCTCTCTCCAGTCACTTCAGACATGCTGGGATGAGCCCTCTTTGATTCTAGGTTGGCTAGACTGCTCTGCTTTCCAAACTTCAGGGAGTTTAAGGTCCACTTCTGACCAGTTCAGACCTTCAGTCTCATGTCCAGTCTCATTCTTCTGTCCCTCTCCGCCTGGGTCAGCCCTTGGCTTGAGGAGCTTGGAATGCAGTATAGGGGGGATATCATGTGATTTTTTACTTCTCTCCTCTCGTCCAGTCCTTTCTGGTTCCCTTTCTCTCCTGATGTGTTTTATCAGGCAGCAAGGAAATGTAAAAGATTGGAAGCCTTGTTTAGGTCACTGGTGGTGGTGATAATTCTTTCTTGGCTGTGATGCCCCCGGCGAGGTATATGCAGGGCTCTGCCTCTACTGCGGCAGCGCGCCGGCTCAGTCACGTGGACTTTACTCCGCAGTCTTTCTCGAGGAGTCCCTGTCCCTGGCTGCAGCTTCTAGACTGGGAAAGCAGTAGGATGAGACAGCCCAGGCTCACCTCTCTTCAGTGACGCCTCCCTAACCCACGGGAAGCTCGTATTTTTTGTGCCTTGCCGAATGGCCGGACGGTTTGTATATGCTGGAGGGGAAGCCCTTGTCAGTTGCACTGTTTGCAAGTGTTTTCTCCCAGGCTGCAGGCTGTCTTTTCCTTTTGTATATGGTTTCCTTTGTTGTGCAAAAGCTTGTAATTTTAATTAGATCCCATTTGTTAATTTTTGCTGTTATTTCCATGCCTTGGCAGGCCACTCCCAATCTGGCACTGTCTCTTTTCCCTGTTAATACCTTTCTCTGGAGTCCTCCACCGGGTCAGGCGTAGAGGGTGAGCAGGGGGTCCACCACGTCGGCGGGTATCACCGAGGAGCGAGAGAGGCCTTCGTGTGTGAGTGTGTGTGTGTGTGTGAGTGTGTGTGTGTGTGGGTGTGGATTCACTCTTCCAATGATTTCTTACCAGGTTTTCCCCGTTCCGTCGCCGCTGTATGCCGTGGTGAGGCAGCGGTGGCAGCGATGGCTCCTCTGGGACGGGGGCGCGTTTGAGCCCCGCGGTCTTCAGCTGCGGTGCCCTGGCTAGTTCAGAGGCGCCTGGAAAGTTCCCGTCCACACAGGCAGCCTGTCTTTCAGTCCTCACAAGAGCCCTGGGGCGGGGGGGGGGGCATCTCCGTGTTATTACGCGGAGGAAAGTTAGACTAACAGGGACTAGATTACTTGCCCCAAGTCTCACAGACAGCGAATGGCCGGCCTGTGATACGGGTTTATTGGACCCCAAACGCTTTATTTGCGTGTTTGTTACCCACGCACCGCACTGCTGTCGCCTTGGCTGTGACAGAGGTGAAGATGTATTTACTTTCAATGTAGCTAGTGCCAGTGCACCAAATTAGCTGTGTTAATTCTTCTTCTTGTAGGCAAACTCCATATAGAAACAAATTGCCAGCAGCTATAAAGCATTCAAATAAAGAAACATTAGCTCTACAAACTGATGTATTTTCTGGTTGCTTCTTATTAGTGATTGCTTCCAGTTCCAGGTCCGCACTGCTCATGCTGATGTTAATGGTGGGTTATGCCAGAAATTATGTCTTAAAGCTTCAGTTATTTTAAAATGTGATTATGCTTTTGTGTATCTGTATTCGCAGATGCTTTAAAAATTTCCCTGTATGCTAATTTTGTTTTCTTCTTAGTTACAGGGATGCAGAAAAGAATTTCTACAATATCTCTAACCGATGCTCCTACGCAGACCATTCCAACAAAGAAGACGTTGAAGAGGTCTCAGGCATTCTGCAGTGCACTGCTAACGTACTCGGTATAGTAACTGCATATTTAAAAGGTTGAGAGAATGAATGAGGGGAAAGGGGGGAAAGGAAAAGGATAAGTGTTTCATTTTCTCCTAAGGAGAGATTTGGAGACTATGGCAAGACCTTGTGTTCAAGTGATTTAATTTCAACACTTGTGATGATGTTTAAGTGGAAATTACACGTGTGCCATTCACTTGGAAATTAGAAAACATCACATTAAAAATGCTTACATTCCAGGCAGACTTTTACAAGTATTCATATGTTAGTGTTACTCGCTTCCTGAAATCTGTATTCTTACTCTCAGCTCAAACTGGGGCTCTTTCTCTTTTCTCAAAGCCAATACTTTTATTATTATTATTATTATTATTATTATTATTATTATTATTATTATTATTATTTACTCACTGTTTCTGGAATGCCCCTGCTGAGCCTGGAGAGTGGCTCACAGATACTCACAGTAGACGCTACAACTCAAAGGCAGTGAGCCAGGTCATCTGTGGAAGTCTGTGCCCTTCTTATGGGGCATGGCGGGCGTCCACCTTGAAGATACTAGTATTTATTACAGAGGGCTGTTTTTAGGTGCCCTCAGCATGGTAAGGGATACTGTTTTAAGCGGCACTGAATCACATAGCCACAAGATACTGTAATTCAGACGTACTGTCTTATGCTCTGAAGTCCTTGGGGTATGAGAGCTACCTGCTTTATATGCAGAGTCGATACCATAGCAGGAATCTTTTTTGCTCTAATGTCTTACAGAGTTTTTTAGGGAAAAATACCTCTTTCAATTTTTCTTTTTTGTTTTGAGTCTTATTTTCTCCTTATGACTCAGACAGAAGTCCACTGAGTGCTGCAGAGTGGTGGTAGGGAACAGCAAACCTTAGTGACTGACTCCCTACAAAACTCAGAGGCACCTGCCTCTCAGGATCAGGTTTTGGGGACTAGGGAAGACGTGCTTCCCTTTCTTTCCCTTTAGGATGAGTACTTTCCCTGGACATCTGAGTCCCTCTTACAAACAGATTCCAGGTGACCTTAACCCATGAATTTACCAGATTTTGCTAAACGTATCTGACTGCCAGAGGCAGACCTGGCTTCTACTCTCAAGCTGGGACTCAGGTACACATGACTATATTTTCTTCCTAGGTAACTTTTATAAATGTAAAATTTTATAATAAGAACAGGGACCTTTTGTGAGGGGAGGTATATAGATGTTCAGTGGTTTGTCCAAGACATCATGGGCTGTGAAGAGGAAGGCCAAAGATCTATTTACTTAAATCTTAGTGCAACTGCAGAAAGGTCATACTACGTAAGTAAACATTATTAGTGCAGAAGATAAGGGTGAGAGTAAAGGGAGGATGGGGTTGGGTGTTACCCAAGAACTGTTCACAGTTTTCTGATTTTGTGTTTCTAAGGACTCTCCTGTAAGCAGTATCTATTTCTTTTGACACATTGTGATGTCTGAAAGGGTAAGGTGAGATGATGTGCCACTAACAGGGATGTATCAGAATTTTGGCGGAGGGATGTTTAATATATTGAAAACTTGTTCTTTTTAAGTTTTTATTGAGTCATGGTCAGTTTACAATGTTGTGTCAATTTCTGGTGTACAGCACAGTTTTTCAATCGTACATGAGTATACATATATTCGTTTTAATATTCTTTTTTACCATGAGCTACTACAAGATCTTGACTGTATTTCCCTGTGCGATACATATAAACTTGTTTATCTATTCTATACATACCTGTCAGTATTTATAAATCTCGAACTCCCAGTCTGTCCCTTCCCATCTCCCTCCCCACCGGCAGCCACAAGCTTGCATTCTGTGTCTCTGAGTCTGTTTCTGTTTTATGTTTAAGTTCATTTGTCTTCTGTTTTATTTCGTTTGTTTGTTTTTTAGATTCCACATGTGAGTAGTATCATATGGTATTTTTCTTTCTCAAAAATTGCTCTTTACTTACCAATTTTCTAAATGATTCCCTGCATCTCACATCGTCTTTCCTTATGCTTGCCACTTTGAGAATCACTGAGTTAGAGGGAGTAAGAGGTGTTCAAGACGGTGAAGATACAAGCAAAACTAAAGACATCCAAACTGACTTGCAAATAAGTGTGCACAGTTCCCATAAGAAACTTTAGGTCAGACAATTTGCTACAGTAACTATCAGGTGATACTGTTGGCCCAGCACAGTTTAGCTGCCTTTCAGAAGGTGTCATGTGATAGATTAAGTTAATGAGTTAAAAGGACAAGCAGTTTGCTGCCTGATGACATTAGGGAAGGGCTAGTTTTTAAATAAATACTTATAATTTAGAAAGTGACTATAACAGGGTTTGGATTTCCATAAGTATTACATTTTTCTAGAAAAGACAGTATTTTTTCTGATCTGATTTTTCCTTGTAAATAATGATGGGTTATTCTCAAAATGTAAAAAAAGCACGATCTTGTAAAAATTTAAGTTTTTGAAGAATAAAACTCTGACTGCTACCATTCCCCAGATGCTGGTGTGTACGCCTAAGAGGTGGCTGTTCTCTTTTGAATAATGTCCTTCCATAATTCTTGAAATACAGACTGAGGACACAGACAACTGCTTTACTGGTCATATTCAGTGAAAGCTCTTTGCTTTAACAAGTCACTGAATTGTAATTAATCTTAGTTTGCTTAGACCTCATCTTTTAAAAAAATTATACCTAAAGTCTCCTGTGCAACCATTTATGTGAGTTGATTAACTTACTGGACAGAAAAACAACATACGAGAAAGAGAGCCTGTTTTGAGTGGAGGGGTTTAGCGTGGAGAAATAGAATTTAAGCCAGTTTAAGAAAAAAATAGATGCTGAAAATCTCTGTGAATACCAGAGGGCAGTTTTCCAACTCTATGATTTATATTTACCACCTTTGGGAGGTGTGGGTAGAATATTGGTGGACTGGAATTGGGGAATATGTATTCCTCTTACCTTCTTTACCTGCTGCAGGGTTGTGGTCGTGGTAGAGACTAGAACTGTGTTTGTTCACTCATCTGTATGTTGTATTTCATCTGTCATAAAAATGATTCAAAGTCATAGGTCAGAAAATACGATCAGAGTAACAAATTTGTCTCTTTTCAAAATGACTGTCTCTATTGACTTAGTGTAAAGTCCTCTAGATAGTTCAATAATTTACTGGCTCGTCGGGCTGAAGTTTGAGTTTAGTATTTGGCGTGGAATGAAAAGGGTAACCTGAAGAGAAGGAGAAAGCTTGTTTGCAGAAGACCAGTGATGCCTCCATCCCATGGCCTCTTCTCTAGAACGCCCTGGAAACACGTGCGTGTCACAGAGTAGTTTATGCCCTGTGTTAGTAATGGCAAAGGACTATTTGTAGACATCAACATTTTTGCCATTCATTTTCTTTTGCTGGCTTAGAAACCCGGATATTGTTATAGTGTCTCATTATTTACAAATGAGGGATATTAAGGAAGACCTCTCCTTAGTTTGTTGCAATGGCATAAAAGATACACAAAGAGAGAGAGTTGTGAACAATGCCCTCCCTACTTGATACTTTTAGTGCTTTATTTGGTACTTTGTCTTTTGCGTACCAAAATGATCTTCCAATTTTAGTTGTCTGAAAAATGTAAACCTTTCCCAGCCGTAATCTGCAAAACTCATTTGTAACTCCAATTAAGTAGTTAAATTGTGTTTATAGTCTTACGAGGTTTATACAGCATCGACTATCGTCTTGGAAATTGTAACAGTTGATCGGTACAGTGGAGCATCTATGCTGAAGCATGAAAGGTCTGTACTGTGTTGCTTAAGTGTTGCCACCTGATCCTGTATCTTGGGTTTAGGTAACGTTGGGGAGAGGAAGACAGAGGATTGAGTAGGGAACCTTAAGGGAAAAGGATGATAAAATTGTGTAGCTTCCTTTGCCATAATATAATTGAAAATAAACAAGGGTTTTGAGCATTTCAGTTTCAACAGGCTTTAACACTGTCACTGGGGTTGTGGGTGTTTCGTTGTAGTGTCAAGAGCCATAGGAAATAGATGTGTAGGATGGATACACAGTGCAGGATAAAGTCACTCCACAGTAGGGCACAAATCAAATAGAAATGAAAGATCTAAGGTAATTCATCTACTAATGAATTATAGCAAACAGAGGTCTACTATTTTAATAAACATCAGTTATTTACTAAGTATTAACACAGTATATATAGTTAAACAATGTTGTTGAAGTATAGTCAGTTTACCGTGGGTTAATTTCTGGTGTACAGCATAGTGATTGTGTTATATATATATATTCCTTTTCATATTCTTTTTCATTATAGGCTATGAAAAAGTAGTGAATATAGTTCCCTGTGATATACAGTAAGACCTTGCTGTTTATCTATTTTATACATTGTAGTTACTATCTGCAAATCCCAAACTCCCAGTTTATCCCTACACCCTGCCTTTCCCACCTGTTAATTACAAGTTTGTTTTCTGTGTCTGTGAGTGTGTTTCTGTTTTGTAAATAAGTTCATTTGTGTCATTTTTAAAAAGATTCCACATATAAAGTGGTATCATATGATATGTATAGAATACTCATTAAAATTTTGTTTTAAAGGTTTTCTGTAGAGTGGGGCTTTATTGTCTCCAAAAACTTAGCTCATTTAAAGTCAGTGTCAGAGTAGTGTTTTCACGGGATTATTTGCTGGAAAAGTGCGAATGAGCTGAATGGAGGGGATGACCTTTGGGGCATGTCCTCACGCTATTTCCCTGATATCAGGGACCCTGAAGTTCTGTGAAAGCAGAGCTCCCTATAAAGTGCACCCGACTCCAGAATCATCAGTTGATGTGGAATGGAGCTTTTTGTTGTTACCTGTTTTTATATAAGCAGTAATTTATTGCTCTTCTGTTAACTTGTATGTACTTCTTGGTTTATGATTTAGAATGTGCACTTAACAGCCTTTTAATTGGCTATAGAACTGTGAAGAGTTAACTTTACTTTGGATTAAGACCTGTGTGTGGGAAGTTTCTTAGAATAACTCTGAATCATGTAATTGCTTAGTG